TTCGCCTTGGTACGAGGCTTGTCTGAGGGCAGAAGGCGTGGATTCGGCACTGCTGTGGCGAGGGCTACTCGAGATGTCAATGCAGCTATCAGTCTCAATAACGCCCTGTCAGCATGCCAGTCTCATCATCAGGTCTTTGGAGGAATCTTAGGAATCTTCGCTGTGCGTATGTGTACGTGGTCAGGTCCTCGAATGTCTGGACTCTTGTACCTACTCAGTACATAGACTTGGATTCCAGAACGCTTTGACAGCCCTGCATCGCTTCGCGCGCCACAAAACTCCTGGGACTTGCAGTACTCGTCAGCAAGTGGCCGACCGGGTTGCTCGCCTGTTGCTGACTCCCCACGAGAGGCAGTCCCAGCCGACAGCGGGGATGCTGAGTAACGCCTTATGGGCTTGTGGTAGACTGAGTGATGTAATTGATTGGAAAGGAGTGGTAGAAGGTGTTGGTCGAAGGGCTGTAATTGATGATAAAATGTTGCCGCATCACATAGCGCACTTTATGTGGGGGTGTGCTTCTTGCTATTCGGCTGCGGCGGAGGAGGATGGTTCTCGAGAACATATAGTTGAAATAGTTAAGAAGGTTATGGTGGAGTTCTTCCGTAGAGATGGTATCGGGTTCGAATCCCGGCATGTATCAAATATCGTGTGGTCTTTGGGGACCATCCAGCTGCCTCTTTCTCGTGACTTCTTACTGCGTCTTCTGAGTGCATGTACAGCCGTTAGTGACGACTTCAAAGACCAGGAGGACGCCAACACCATCTGGGGCTTGGCGAGGCTCTCAGCGGCTGCTCCAGCTGCTGACGAGGGCATCCACGCTATACGAAAGTACATAATCGGACGAGTGCTCCGTCGAACAGACTGGGGTGTGCTTCGTCCGGAGGAGTTCGGTATGGTCCTCTGGGGTGTTGCCGTAGGGGTCGGTTCCGAGGCAGACACTATTGTATTAGAGAGGCTGGCAAGAGCAGCCTCTGCCCTGGGTAGAAGGATGGCAACTGAACCGTCATCTCATCGGGCTATTGCTAATGTCCTATGGGCCTTCGCTTCCCTGCGGTATGCTGATGACAATTTGCTTCGCTTCATAAGTCTAACGTCACCAACGGTGGCACGGAGTGGTTCAGGGCGGCATCTTTCCAATGTGGTGTGTGCCTTGAGCGACCTTGGCTGTGCTCTACCTGATGAGCTCTTAGATGCAGCTATAAAGGCGTGCTCCTATCCCCCCAGCAACGCCACAGGCCGCCATGCAGCGGGGCTATTACGTGCAGTAGCGGCATCGGTGAACCGAAGGGAGGTGGGAGCTGCCGAACTTGTGCCCTTAGTGGCTACTGTATGGAAGTTTTATGATGGAGAAGGGGAGGCTACGGCTCGACAGCTCTTTATAGCGAGCCTCTGGAGTAGCCTCTGCACACCTTCGCCGCTGATGACTGACCGAAAGGAAATTGAAATGGTCGTTAGCGGAGCGATGCAAGGCTTTGCTGTGGACGACGCAGCCAGTAGTCGTATTCACGGTGATGTCGCCATGGCGCTGCGAAGGATCGTTGGACCGAAGATGTTGGTCGAGACGTCGGCGTATGGCCTTAGTGTTGACATCGGCCTTGGAGGCTCCGATTCTGATTGGTTTCATGCCGGCCATGGGCTTCCTCGGACGGGTTTTAGTGCAGGTTTCTGACGTTGTGATTCGTCTTGTGTTGATTCGTAAGTAGTGTCGTACTGGGTCTCTCAGCTGCTTGTGTTGTCATGACGGATTCGGGCTGGTCTCCTGGTGTCAAGAGCAGCTAGATATGCATGAGTGCTTCTGAGCCCATCAGAGTGAATGGGTGCCGAACAGCTTGCAGCGAGGCATACGTCTGAACCCTTCTACTTCGCGGTGAGCTCACTTCTTGTTCCAATTTCTGTTATTACACCTTCTAGTTATTGCTATTAGCCTGGAAGTGATCCCATAGGAGTATCACCATGACAATGAGCTTGT